AACCGAAACTGAGTTTGCGAGGTAATGTCATTGAGTGACCTGTCAAAAAATGAGAAAGAGTTCAGTTGAGTGACCGAGGAGATACACAGTTAGCAGATAGCAACGAATGTAACAAAAACAATAATAGTAATTTAATAGTCTGGCAAATTAAGACAACGTATGTACCAGAAATTCACGGGAACCGGGAAGTGGAGCAAGATGGAGAGTGTAAATGATGGTTGAGAAGAAACGGGCAGTGTGTGATGTGCCCGATGAGCAGCGAGCTAGAGTTTCTTCAGTCACCGGTGCCTGAGCCAAATATGACGGGACTGAGCACGACATGAAGACCTATGGGCAGTCGGTGGACCCGGGTTAAGAGGTGGGGCCAAACAATCTTTCATTGTATTTGTATTTGTATAATTTGTGTAAGCTGATAAACTTACACTTCACCTAAAAATGTGACGGGAAAACATGGCTTTCACTAAAAATGTACACTGGGTGGGAGGGTAGATGCCGAAAGGAGTGTGTGGACGGATGGGAACGACAAGACGATAGATCTAGACGCAGTGGACGAAGAGGGTCGTTTAGAATTGCATTGGTTAATTTAATAGTTGATGTGCCCACTATTAAGCTCTGTGGTTAATGAACCAACTGACTATCATTAAACCACGACGAATGGTTGTGAAGCCTTGTTTCAAACGGCCGCGAAACACTATGGGGGAGCAATAGAGAGCGACTGGGAAAAACGCATTGATGAAAGAAAACAAAACTGACTGTGAGGTTTAGAATTGTTTGAGTTTGCGCATCTAAAAGGTGAGGCGTAACGGTTCCCCAATACAATTACAAACGTGTGTGGACCACCGGAGATTATTGTCGATGATGACACTTAGGTGGTTGACAGAGGTCCTGTAGACACGGGGTTACACTTAGGGTAGCAGAGTTCGTAGGAAATGAAGAGCGGAAAAAACTGAAGATACAATAAAAGCACTTGAATGTGTTAAGAGTAAAACCAGATTGGTCAGGAAGCTGCTGCATTCGGGAGACTTTGAGTGAATGAATCGAATTTCGAAGAACAGAAAATTGTCTGACACAAAACTACATCCGTCAGCATACGTTTGGATATGTGCAGCGGTTGGAACCGAACGATCACTAATGAAAGTAGAAAAGCGATATGGAGATAGAACAGTATCTTGAAGCCCATCGGAATTATTAAATAGAGGTTTTGATGTACTCGTGTTCAATTTAGTGCATTGCACTGGTTCTGTGAAATAGTCAGAAAGTCATGAGAGCAGTCCTCTCACAGTGCCGAAGGATTCGAGTTTGGAAGAGGGGAATGATCAAGAAACGGAACCAAACACGAACAAATAGTTAAGAAAACACAACAGACATACTTGGCTGAGTTGTTCAATAACTGACTGATAACATGAATCAGAGTGAATACGACATCCAGTATAGATCTCTGGGGGGTCGTGCAAGCGACTTTTTCAGTTAACTCTAAAGCTGCAGAGGTCAGCGCAATAGGACGAAACTGTTTCACTGATGACCATGATGGTTTATAAACTATGCGTGTATTGAACTGCCTAGGGATCGTGAACGCCGAATGAATCCTCGATTGAGAAATGAAGTAGGAGGTGTCATTGACTTTAATTTTAAACAAACTGGTGACATCGGCATTTATCACAACGGCGTCATGAGTTT